TACTGATAAAGATGTTTCCGTTATTACTAATCAAGGAGGTCGTAAAGTAAGAATTTAATTTTTTTTAAAAAAAATAAAATAATTATTGTATCAATTTTATCAAAAATATATATATATTTAAAGGTTACTGCGGAGGAATATATAAAATATATGAATATATATAATCCTGATATATTTGCTAGCATGGCGGATTTAATAACTTTCAAGAATCCAGGTTTAAAAAGGGTTAAGAAATCTGTTGATAGAACATTAAATTGGCTAGATCAAACCTTGGCACAAACCAAAGTATATAAACAAAATAATATCGGTTTTAACATTTTTAATATAAATCAAAATATCTAATATAAAGTACGTGATAAAATAATTAAAGGAAGGGATTCAAGTATTTGGAGTTGTGACTGGACATGATAAACATGATGAACGAGTAAGATCTGCACAAGAGACAGCTAATAGAAATGTGGCCGGTAAATTTTATATATTAATTAAAAAAAATAATAATTTATTCACTAATAACATAATTTTAATAGGATTCGTGTTAAATGGGTTTGATCTAGACATGACTTCAAAAGAACGTTTAGATTTAATGAAAATCTCGCTAAAACATCTACCAACAAATAAACCTCGTGTAGCATATGGCCTTGGGGCACCAGGTTTGACCATTGTTCATATATTAAAAATTCACAAATTAAAAATTCATTAATTAAATTGAATTCGTTTCAGAGTATGTCCTTCTTGGAATTTTCGAGGGAATTGATATATTTGACACAAGTTATCCATCAGAAATGACATCTTTAGGACGTGCACTTACATTTTGTCTACCGGTAATTGAAAATGGAATTGAAAATGGAATTCAAAATGGAATTCAAAACGGAATTCAAAATGGAATTCAAAATGGAATTCAAAATGGACAAGAAAAATTCATAAACCTTTGGGATAATAAATATAAAGCGGATTTTGGACCAATTTTAGATGCGTGTAAATGTTATGCATGTCAGAATCATACGAAAGCATATATAAATCATTTACTAAATACTCATGAAATGCTTGCAACCGTATTGTTAATGAGGTTTGTTTATTTAACTAAATTATTATTATTATTCGTAACTTTGTTAACAGATATTTATTTCCTATTTAATAGTCATAATTTATTCCATTATTTGCAATTCTTTAAGAATATTAGAAAATCTATGAATTATAATACATTTGAAAAAACTGCTATACAATTTATTAATATGTATGGCAACGATGACATTGATGTTAGTAACATTCAATTTCTCTCAAACGGAATAAAAAAAAATAAATAGTAATAAAAAAATTTTTTTTTTTTTTTTTTTTTCAAAGACGTCAAACAGTAAACGGACATCAAACTATATTTATAATAGTTAATATAAATGATATCCATTATACACAAAAATAAAGATATAAGATCTTCGTGTAAATCGTAAGTTATTTTTGTTTAGGTATTTTTGGAAGTCGCTCAATCCAAAG